AGATTTTCTCCTATCCAAGCTGGTATATTTACAGACAATTTATTATTACTTGGATCCAAAAATTTCAACTGACTACAATTCTTCAAAGAAGAGCGCAAATCTCCAGAGAATTTGTTCTTGCTTAAATTAATTGATTCAAGTGACGATAATGATTCAAAAGATCTTGAAATACCCCCTGAGAAGCTGTTATTAGCTAGGTTCAAAACCACAAGGGCTTGCCAGTGAGCAAAACAATCGGGAAGCAATCCAGACAAGATGTTACTAGAAACATCAAGACAGTTCAAAAACTCAGCTTTAATCTTACATAAAGGAGAAACAGATCCTGAGAACTTATTTTGAGAAAGATTCAATGATGACACATTGGAAAGAAACAATGGCAATGGACCCTCAAACAGGTTTGAACTTAAATCTATTACAGCATAAGAACGAAACTTAAGTGATGATAATTTTGGCAGCATTCCAGTGATATGGTTATGAGAGACATTTAAGAGAGCTAAGTATGGAGATAGGTCCCAAAACCAATCGAGGATAGTATCTGAGATTCCAGCACTGGAGATATCAAGTTCAGAAAAATATTTCAGAATTCAACTGAAAAGGGGGAGCCCAAGCAGAGTTGAAAGCCACAACTAAACGGTTAAAGGACAAGTCAAGTGACATTAACTTGAAGAGATTTTTTAAATGAGTTACAGATATCACACCTTCCAAAGAATTCCCAGAAAGATCCAAACGCTCAAGCTCATATAGGCATCCCAAACTTTCAGGCACAGTCCCGTTCAATTGGTTATCACTAAGATCTGATTCTTTCAAAGATGAAAGTGTTGTGAAATCAGGTAACATCCTTGTAAGTTGGTTTCTTGACAAATCCAACAAATCTAAGCACCCAAGAAACCCAGGAATCATTGATCCACTGAAGTTGTTGTCGGAAAGGTCTAATGTTTCAACAGTACATGTGTTACCAAGGAATTTCGGAATTTCACCTTCAAAATTATTTCTCCATAAATAAAGATATTTAAGAGAAATCCTATTCTCGAAAAACTCTGGAATTGAGCTACCTAACAGGTTATCTGAAAGGTCAAGATTAACAATATTGCTTGTAATATTGAACAACAATGGGTACACTGAAGAAGTAAGATCGTTACTAGAGAGATCAATGGGAAGTGGCGATGAAGTGGAATTAGTGAGGAAGGTTGAAAAAGGATTCTCGGAAGCTTACACCCACTCAACTTTAAGTCTTCTAGGTAAGGAAGCATGTTGAGTAGTTGCGGCCAATCCTTAGCATCAGTAAGGTTGTTCCAACTAAGGTCAAGACGTCTTAAAGAAGAAAGACCATGAAGTCAATCAAGGTTGGAAATATTGTA